CTTGGTACTAGGTGACTGAGCATCCCTACAAACTATCTTAAATTGTTTTTCAAATAATACAAGATCATCAATAAGCATGTGTTGAGACAGGATTACAGGGTGCAGCTGCACAACAAAGAAGAAGACCCTCCCCAATGCCTGAGTTGGAAGACCCTCGTCCGTCGGCAGCCATAATCACCTCCTGGGCCGGCTTCATTGTCCGGGAGCACAGAGCAGAAAATGCCCCTTGTCCTCCTCAGAGAGATGCCTCCACCCTTTTAGTGGACCTTACAATGAGTTCACCACCCGTGGGCTAGCAAATGCATTACCACGACACCACCCATAACCACATGTGGTCGTTAAGTGAACAATTCACATGGCCCCTGTACTTTGTTGAAGTATTAGATTATGCCAATTTGGCTTTTACTTTAGCAGATTTGGCCTCATTCCTAATAATATACTGATGGGAATGATTACTAACAGTAATGTTGGTAACACAACAGGGTGAAAAGAAAGACTAATACCCAAACTGTCTGAGGTAAACATAAAGTACTACAACACTGTTCTACGTCCTGCATAATGTTCATTTAAAAAAAGTATAATATTGCACACTCGGGCTACAACAAACGATTAATCTAATGATTGTTTTCTCAATTATTAATCATTGACTTTTTGGTTCTTAAATTGTCCAAAAAAGACTCACTTTAATATGATAAACAGAGAAAAGTTGGATCTCTCCCTAATTTATAGGGGTTAATTAATTGATTAAATGTATAGTTGAAGATAATTATTTTTCTTGGATCAAATAATCTAAGTAATCAACTTTTTAACAACAGCTCTGTTGGGCTCAAGGCTTCCTGTGCATTGAGGATTCATATTTACATATAAGGTACCTCCAAACACATTTGGTTACGAGCAGTCATTCCCAACCTTATTGGTTCGCGACCTCCTAAAATAAATCTGTTATAAAGAAACTGATTCTTACATTTTCTGGCTTGAAGGTCTGAAGAGGTAATATTATAGTACATACACAAAGCTTGTTATACAAATAAACTAAAGGGTGACACTTTTGTGTTACAGATTTGTTATTTTCTGTCCTTTTCTGGTTATAACCCTGCAACATGTGAAAAGTGTCTTTGACCCATTGGGGGCAGGGCGGGGTTCCTGATCCTCAATAGAAACTGATAGTATGACTACAGCGTTTCCCGCCCTGTCTGTCTGTTTTATGTAAAGTTGGTGTGTCCGCACAAATCTCAACAACTGTTGCTGTATACAATGCAGTGTGAGAGATACTATAATGGACATACAGACATACATTATTGATGGTGTTTGTCTATATTTTTTCCCCACATACGTAATAAGGCATTCACATGCACATACATACAACAATAAGAACAGGAGGAGGTATAGCATGGTGCCTCACCTCCAGCTGGAGAGAGCTGAGTGTCAGCTGTGGGGCCGAGCATCCCCCCCACCTCTACCCCCCAGAACAAAACACACCCACATATAGAGTACAGGCTCTATCCTGCTGCACTAGCCTTTTGTCTCTTTGAGCCTGTACACCAATATGTCCCCCACTTGTTAAATCCTGTGCCCTGCGACAACTTGGCAGCAGATGCAGTGTGTGAGAAATATGAGGGGCTGTGCATGGCCGTAGAGTTCATTGTTTCAAGCTTCCAATAAAGGGTAAAGTGGGATTTAGAGCCCCTGCAAGGCAAAAGCCTAAAGAAAGCTCATTTGTTTATGCCACAGAGCTATTCACTTGCACCTTCAGTGAATCACTTTGATCCACCCAACAAACATTATGCATAACATAAATCACATCATGTGAACAACATGTTTTTGTAATACTGTGAGCCATGTTCACGCTCAGCTCTCTGAATATATATATGTTGCACATTTATGCACACATAAAAATAGATTACACCTTAGTTTGGCATATATTCATTGTCTCAAGTCTTTTTGTTCTTTTGTATATTTAAATTAGGTATAAATACTTGTCTGTATTATTTTTTAATACTAAATAGTGTCTTAAAAATACTTTATTTTTATTATCGTTTTATGTTTTACCTACACTTACAACTACTTTTAATTTTTTTGTTCTGAAAAGCTACAATTCTAACTTGTAAATCGTATTCCAAAGTTATAAGATCTCTTTAAAAGGCAGCATTAATATCATAGATTTCATATCATAATGGTCAAAGGCACCACAAAAGTACTTTTTTTAACAATATTGATTTTCACTCACAAAGCATTATGGGAATTAGCAGATCACAGCATCTTTACAACACATGCTCACACTAGGCATCATCATCTCACCATCTGACATACAAATCTAATAATCAGCTCTGATACAGTGTCTAGTTTCTTCACCCCCAATCACCCCCACCCCCCGCTTGCCCTGCAGCACATTAGGGCTCATTATGTTCCCATTATACACCTGGTGACCTCTGACCTCGTCCACACTGTGCCATGCTAATCATCTCTCCGGGGGAGGCAGCAGTTGGACAGACGGGTATGGGTCATACTCCAACAGCTTCACACAGCAAGAATACATACGCTGTACGGAGGAAGAGCTTCCATATACAACTGGGTGTGCAGATTTTTTGAAGGTTTTTGTGAAAATAAAGATTTGTATAATGGTCTCTGTTTATTGAGAGGCTCACTTTTTGTTTTCATGAAAGTCACAAATTAGAAAGTGTGATGCAGAGGTGGGAAAAGTAATCCGATCTTGTACTTAAGTAAAAGTAGAAGTACCAGAGTGTAGGAATACTTTGTTACAAGTAAAGTCCTGCATTCAAAATGTTACATCAGTAAAAGTACAAAAGTATTATCATCAAAATATACTTAAATTACCAAAAGTAAAAGTAGTCATTGTGCAGATTGGTCCATTTCAGAATAATATCTATGATATGTTTTATAATGATTGATCATTAAAGTGTTATCAAAGCTGGTAAAGGTGCAGCTAGTTGTAATGACTTTGTATACTGCAGGGTAGCTTGTGGATTTACTCCAGGTGGAACTAAAGTCTGATTTAACACTTGATTATATTTCACATCATTCATCCACATCTGTAAAGTAACTAAAAGGTATTAAATACATGTAGTGGAGTAAAAGTACACCATTTACCTCTGGATTGTAGTGGGGTAAAAGAACAAAGTAGACAAAAATTGAAACAGTCAAGTCAAGTCAAGTACAAGTACTTCAAAATGTATCTCAAGTAAAGTACTTGAGTAAATCTACTTAGTTACTTTACACCACTGAGTGTGACGCAGAGGCTTTTTCCCAAACAGCAAAGTGGAGTGAATCCGGGACAAATGAATGAATCATCAGTGTAACTTGATCTCACGTGTATTCAATAGCTTTTTTACACCAGGACCATAACGCCATCATTTATTGTTGCCTTAGTAAGGTCACTGATGATGTTATTATTACATAAAATCGTACCCGGAGGAGTTAAGACACTGACGCCTCGTAAACATATCCAATTAAAATAAGTATGTGTTTCATCAAGACAGCTACTACTGATGTAGCTCACAACAACCACTGTGCCCTCTGGGTGTGGATGGCTGGAGTGGAGTATTATCATTCTAACACATTACTGAGCTGCCTTTCCCAATAAGCTCATATCTTGAACTGTTAAATAGTCTCAATGTGAACCTTATAGACTTAAATATTTAGGTTAAGCCTCAGGCTAATTCCTTGCTGCAGAGAAGATTTCACCAAAGCCTACTTTTTTCACATGTTATGGTATTTCTTCAGGGTCTGTTGCCTAATTAGAAAGAGCTGTGATTATTATGCACCCAGTGTCCCAATTACGTTTTTAATTACTTAAAATATTCTTGTTTTCAGAGTATTCAGACATATTTCATCTGAGTCCAGACCAAAGCTCCTAAAATAGTGATATGCCTTCATTTTTAAGAATATTTTTGCTGAAACATCACTAACTCCCTGTTGAGGACCTGTATAACTATAATGAGAACAGTAAGGACATCTTGGCGAGTTCATTCATCAGTCAGCAGCACACAAATACAGTAGCTTGGGATGTCTAAGGGAGGTATTTCATATTAGATCTTAACAAAATATTCAACAAATACATTTAAAAAAAGAATATACAAACGTCTGTTTAAACATGACAAACCCAATGGGGATAACTGGGATTTTAACCTTGTCATGGAGATATACCCTATGTTTGAAAGCAATACTTTACGTACAATAAAGTCACTGTGAACTCACCATGTAGTTCCCAGCTAGGCTAACAAGTGATCATAATACAGGCAGTAGTTGAGTATTTCCATTTTCTGCAATTTTTTACTTCTACCCCACTACAGTTCAGAGGTAAATGGTGTACTTTTACTCCACTACATGTATTTAATACCTTTAGTTACTTTACAGATTTGGATGAATGATGTGAAATATAATCAAGCCTTAAATCAGACTTTAGTTCCACCTGGAGTAAATTCACAAGCTACCCTGCAGTATACAAAGTCATTCAAACTAGCTGCACCTTTACCAGCTTTGAGAACACTTTAATGATCAATCATTATAAAACATATCATATATTATTATTCTGAAATGGACCAATCTGTACAATTACTAGTTTTACTTTTGATACTTTAAATATATTTTGATGCAAATACTTTTGTGCTTTTACTTGAGTAATGTTTTTGAATGCTTTTACTTTGACTTGTAACAGAGTATTCCTACACTCTGGTACTTCTACTTTTTTAAGATCCGAGTACTTCTACCACCTCTGAATAGAACCAGTGGTAGCCTATACAGTTGCAACACACAACTACGTAACCACAACGGGCTAACATAAAGCTAGAAGTTACAAACAGGTTAAAATAGTAGCTAACTAGCTAACATCATTTGAATATCGCAGAGATTTCTCTCGGAGTCAGCAGTCCCAACGCAGAGCCCGTCACATACGGTGAACTTAGTGCAAAACAAGCCATGTAAACGCTAATATTAAAGAGATTATACACACAAATAATGTAATAAAAAAAGAGACTACTAACCTCGAAGATACATTTTCCCGCGAGTGTCTTCCTGTTACGGTGTTAAATAGTCCGACAGTCCCGTGAAGTGCACGCTACTAGAGAGGAGTGTATGAGGTGTGATTCTCATAGGAGTGAACACACCGAGCTCCTGTCGCCTCTCCCCGCCGCCGCCGCCCTCTGGGTCATTAGCATGTGAACAGACCCGCCGACAGACTCGGTCAGTACGGTCAACACACCGAGGAAGAAGACACAACCCAGCTCCAGTTAAACCTTCTCCTCAAATCTAATGAGTTCCGGTCCAAAATGACAGGCTCCCCGTCCCCGTCCCCGCCCCCTCCCTTTGACCCTTGGCCGCATACCGAGTTACTCTTTGCCTCATTCTCCAGCGGTCTACTTTGCCAGCCATTAGACAGGTGAAACCTTAAAGTTTACAGTCTATGGGTTCGGAGCAGAGGCGGGAAAATGACCCAGATCGTGTACTTGAGTAAAAGTAGAAGTACTCAGATATTGTACTTGAGTAAACGTAGAAGTACCAGAGTGTAGGAATACTCTTTTACAAATAAAAGTCCTGCATTCAAAATGTTACTCAAGTAAAAGTACAAAAGTATTAGCATCAAAATATACTTAAAGTACCAAAAGTAAATCCTCTAATTGTAGTGGAATGGAAGTATCCTGCATCCTGATTACGTAATCTCGTGACAATCAACCAGAAGTGTAAATATATATATATAATAATAATTAAAAAAAAAAAGGTTAATAACAAAGTGTATCTTAGTTGTTTGAGCAAAAGAGATTCCATTTATATAGTATTGCACTTTCATCAACATAAGAACATTTCAAGGGACAAATAAAACAGCATAACTCACACAGTGTCACAGTGTTATTAACTATCCTTCCATACTTCATAATCATTTTATACAATATGTAGCCGACTGTGGCTATATGGCTCATTAAACTGCAGTTTTTGTAGTAAGTATTAATAACAGCAGGGAATTGTCCCATGTCCCAATGTGGAATTCCACAGTAGTTTAACACATGGGCGTCGCAGCCATTATATGAGGGTGGGACAAGTCCCCCCCACTTTTTCAAATGGTTAGTTTAGACCAAGCGGCAAACTCTGGGGAAGAGCCGGGACGCCAATACGGAAGTGCCACAAACTGCAGTTCATATATTGGCCGATAGGCGATGACTGCAGAAAGGAGCAATTTCCATAGACCCCAATGTTAAAATGCCCAATTTCACAGCAGAATAAAAACGTTTCTAGCCCTGGCTCCAATACATTTTATTATGTATATAGTTAGATTCCACCTTCGTGATTATGAATCTGTGAGTGAATTGTTTTCTAACGCGACCCTTTTATTTATATTAGGTCTTAAAGTTTTTGCATAAATTAGGGCGTGGTCACTTTGATGGACAGGTACGTGCCTCACTGTCAGCTAACAGCAATTTGTCCACTCTGCTAGGCTACAACGTTAGTTAGTTGTAGTTGCTGTACTTGACCCTTTAGCCGTGTTCGTGGTGATTGTGCCTTTTAGGGAATATTGTTACAAATACCAGACAATTAAAATGTCGTGCTGTGCGCTTGAATGTACTAACAGACCTTCCAAGAAGTCTACTCTCAGCTTTTTTCGGTGAGTAAAATGATAATATTATACATGTTAATCCCGTTAGCAGGTGTTTGTGTGCTTGTTAGTTTAGCTTGTTATGTAGCTTATTATGTAGCTTATTAGCCAGCTAAGGACGTAACCCTTTATACATGTGTATATATATATACAGTTTAGTTTATGATTCAGCCTTTTATAGTATATGGCTGTGACGCCCATAATGCTAAACGGGAGCAAATGTTAAAAGGGGACCCAATTATCCCAGTGGTGGCCGCCGGAGTCCACGCCGGCCGAAGCTAACGGAGCCGCAGGGGGCTAGCTCGCTAGCGCGTCCCGGCGGCTCCGTTAGCTTCGGCCGGCGGCGGAGTCCGGCATTATAACTGGAGATCAAGGAATGCAGCGAAACGCAGACTTGGTTCGCCTGCAGCCCGCTGTAGTATTAGCTAAATAAATTATGTTGAACAAGGCTTATTAAGCTGAACATCGCCACAATTGTTCTGCTATGTATCGGTACTTATTTTATTTTATTAACGTGTGAATGACAAGCATTAAACATAACAACAAATAGCTCATTATCTTGCAGATTGTCTCGTTTGATTATGAATGTAACGTTTATATAGTGGAACTACACTGTTTTATCAAAACCAAAGTGCCACGCAGTAACTTGGTATGCATGTATTTCAGCAGGAAATGTGCAACCTAGATGACATTTACCAACACAGACTATATAGAAATATTTGTAAAAGTTGTTCATGTGTTATTAAGTGAATATGGCATTAACCCTCCTGTTGTCTTCGGGTCAAATCTGACCGATTTACTACTTTCATCAATCATAACTTTTTTGTTTTACATTCGATTGCATTAAGGATTTATGATATCCTTCACAGTAGACATTTGAACATATAAAATTGCTGATTGACCTTGTCGTGGTGAGTGGGCTTTAAACTAAGACGGGTCATACTGAATAGTCTGTGCACACATTTTTAACATGTGATCTTTCTTTCATGTAGGATGCTTGAGGGAAGTTGCAACGCCTCGGCCAATGTGATGTCTTCCCCACGTGAAAGAGATTGAAGGCATAATTTATAACTTGAGACAATTTTCCAAAAGTTATGACTTTTATTGGCTTAGGTAGTAATGGATTACATCCAACACGAATCAAGATCGTATAGAAAAAAAGGAAAGTGTAATCCTTAGTTACATAGGAAAAGATGTAATCGGATTAGTTTGACTTTTTTTAATAATAGGGAAACTCAGGATTACAATCTTATTCAAAACCTGAAAAGAGCATATAGTGTTTGTTGTAAAATGATCAGATGTTCTCTCTTCTCTGGAAGCGGTACTGTTCTGTAGGCTAATACTTTAATTGTGAATCTATACACCTACTGCCTGAGTCAGCTTTATGTATATTATACATTTAAGTAAAAAAATCTTATTAATATTTCTTCTCTCCTGTGTTTATTTGCATTGCATTTGATATTGAGGTAATCCAAAAGAAAAATAAAGTTATCAGGTTACAGTACATTACTTTTATATCTTGATACTCACATTAAGTTACTGGTTGCGTTTTTGGCAAGTAGCCCTCCCAACCCTGTACATAAGTTATATCATTTGAATTACTGATACAGTTGTTGCACATCTTTCATTTATTTTCTAGTGTACTTAAGTCGTACATTTTCAATGTGAAATAGATCGGATTAAATATAGAGTAAAAGCACAATCTTAAATTATACATTTATCATTTTCCTATGCTTATTGTTAATGTAGTGGTGTTATAAACAAAATGTTGTCGTAAAGGAAATTAAGATGTTTTTTATTTGTTGACAAAAGATTTAAAGTTGATGCTCACATGTGGGAACATTTATTGAGAAAAATGTTTCTATTGTAAAACAAATAATTATCTGCATACTGAACAATTTAGAAACTCTCTAAAAGGTATTATTTTCTGTGATGTTACGACCCTGTAGGGATTGTGGGTATTGCATTTCATAATTACATTCTATGGTATGCTTATGATATATTTGATGCCAAAATACATGGGATTAGGGGAGACCTTCTTGGTGTTTGCATTGTCACTGATAAATGACAAGGTAGTATTCATTGTCAAGATTTTGTGTTTTTAAACTTGGGACTCTTTTCAGACTGCTACGGCTTGGGAAAAGATTTGAGCCTTAATGTGTAATGTTTTCTGTATTGTATGGTTAGCTTATCCTTTCATTTGATAGTCAGATTTGGATGTGATAGCTAACATTTTCAGTAAGCAGTAGACAAAAGAAGTGAAAATATGAATGTGATTTATTTTAAATATTTACAGAATTATTTTAACAAATAACATAACAAAAAACATAATAACAAATTTAAAAAAAAAGTTTGACAGACAGCCATGCCCAGCATGGGCCTGGAGAGCTACAGAGTCCATTGGGGGGAAGAGGGGGGGGTGGGATGTGGGGAAGAGGAAGAGCAGCCATGTTAACAGTGTTATGGCTACAGATGTAATATCTAACTCAACATTAGCCATGACAGTCTGGGCTTAGCAAGGGCCTTAGAAAACATACTCTAAAGGCCAAATCCAAAAACAGTGATACTGACATTTTAGCAGTTCACAGTCTTTGGAGATGGTCTTTCAGGCAATTGGCTAGTGACTTTAAAAAAATATCATTTCCCCTAGGGGTGAAATGAACTCTATCTCGCAAAAAAAGCCCAGGACTGTCATGTCTAATGTTGGAGTGGTCAACAATGGCACCATTTAGGCTATGAACAAAAGTAGCGATAACACTGTTAACAAACTTCCGGGCCTTGTCAATTTTGACAGGATTTGCACCAGCCCTCCATCGGCACCTCTGGTTGATCTGGGAGAGCATGATCTTCATGCCAGGGTGCCGATGGTGAAGCTGGTGCAGGTCCTCCTTCATCTGATTCACCAAGTGAACACTGGGCACATCCCCCAAGTCGTTGCCGCCACAGTGGATGAGGAGGACATCCAGGGCTGCTCTTCCTCGCAGGGAGTTGGAAAAGAAGGGGAGGAGACCTCTCCAGCGCAGTCCACCCCAACCGAACCAGCAGGCGCGAAGGTCGAGGCCAAGGTTGCTGCCGATGGTCTCTGTAGCTCTCTGGGCTCCGCGCCGGACATAGCTGTCCGATTATCCATACAGTCACTATGGGAGGAAAATAAATGAGAGTAACAAATGCTTCAGATAATGAGGAATATCAAATTAAGTATAAAGGGTTGCTCATTTTGTTCCTTTGACAATAACATACAACATAACATATGAAATCACACCTGACGTATATATATATATATATATATATAAACTTATATATAAATATTTTTAAACTTGTATAGTGTAATATCAAGAACAGTTAAATCATAGGGAAAAGCTTTGTTTAATTCACAATACGCTAATTCCTTTACATACTGTATAGGCCACAATTTATGGCTAATTCCATAGGCTAATTCACGCAACACTGGCCATATCTCTGATAGTTTACAAAGTTGTTACAAATGACATTTATATTTGAAAAACGGTGAAGCACTTAAAAAACAATTGTATAGTGTAGGTTCAAGAACATTTAAATCAAAAGGACAAGTTTTGTAAAGTTACAGGGGATCTTACCTTCAGAACGCCGGGAACGAGGAGCAGTGACCGG